TACTACTACTGCTGCTACTACTACTACTGCTGCTGCTACTACTGCTGCTACTGCTACTACTGCTACTGCTGCTGCTACTACTGCTGCTACTGCTGCTACTACTACTGCTGCTGCTGCTATTGCTACTGCTGCTACTGCTGCTGCTCCTACTACTACTGCTGCTGCTACTCCTGCTGCTACTGCTGCTCCTACTACTACTGCTGCTGATGCTGCTGATGATGCTGCTACTACTGATGATGCTGCTGATGATGATGCTGATGATGCTACTGATGATGCTGCGGCTACTACTGATGATGCTACTACTGCTGCTGCTGCAGCTGATGATGATGATGATGCTGATGATGATGATGCTGATGATGATGATGCTGATGATGCTGATGATGACGATGTTCCCACTGTCGCCCCCCCCCCCCCCCCCAGGTGTTCCAGCGCAGGCAGAGTGGGCACACGAACTTCGAGCGAGGCTGGCAAGAGTACGAGGACGGATTCGGGGAGCCCTCGCGAGAATTCTGGATGGGTGGGTCCCCTGACCCCTGACCCCTGACCTTTGCCCCGACCTTCAACCTGACCCTCCCCGACCTCCACCATGACCCTCAGCTGACCCCCCCCCCCGACCTTTGTCCCGACCTTCAACCTGACCCTGACCTTCCACGTAGTGTGGTGTGACACGGTGTAGTGTGACATGGTGTGACGTGGTGTGTTGTGACGTGGAGTGGTGTCACGTGGTGTGGTGTCACGTGGTGTGGTGTCACGTGGTGTGATGACGTGGTGTGGTGTCACGTGGTGTGGTGTCACGTGGTGTGGTGTGACGTCACGTGACGTGGTGTAGTGTGACGTCACGTGACGTGGTGTCGTGTGATGTCACGTGACGTGGTGTGACATGGTGTCACGTGGTGTGGTGTCACGTGGTGTGACGTGGTGTGATGACGTGGTGTGGCGTGGTGTGACGTCACGTGGTGTGATGACGTGGTGTGACGTGGTGTGGTGTCACGTGGTGTGGTGTCACGTGGTGTGGTGTCACGTGGTGTGGTGTCACGTGGTGTGATGACGTGGTGTGATGACGTGGTGTGACGTGGTGTGGTGTCACGTAGTGTGGTGTCACGTGGCGTCACGTGGTGTGATGACGTGGTGTGACGTCACGTGGTGTGATGACGTGGTGTGACGCCCCCCAGGCCTGCGTGCGCTGCACGAGCTGTCGTCCCAGGCGCGCTACGAGCTGCGTGTGGAGCTAGGCGACGGGGAGGCCTCGGCCTTCGCCCAGTACGACCGCTTCACCGTGGGGGACGCCGCCTCGCTGTACCGCGTGCGCATCGGAGAGTACAGCGGGGACGCAGGTACACACACACAGACACACACACAGGTACACACACAGGTACACACACACAGACACACACACAGACACACACACAGGTACACACACAGGTACACACACAGACACACACACAGGTACACACAGGTACACACACACACACAGACACACACACACAGACACACACACACACAGACACACACACACAGGTACACACACACACACAGACAGACACTCACAGGTACACACACACACACAGACAGACACACACAGGTACACACAGACACACACACACAGAGACGTGGGGGACGCCGCCTCGCTGTACCGCGTGCGCATCGGAGAGTACAGCGGGAACGCAGGTACACACACACAGACACACACAAGTACACACAGGTACACACACACAGACACACAGGTACAGGTACACACACACACAGGTACACACACACACACAGGTACACACACAGATACACAGATATACACACAGATACACACACACACACAGGTACACACACACACAGACACACACACAGACACACTCACAGGTACACACAGATACACACACAGGTACACACACACACAGACACACACACAGACACACACACAGGTACAGGTACACACACACACACAGGTACACATACACACAGATACACACGTAGATACACACACACAGACACACACACACAGACACACACAGACACACACAGACACAGGTACACACACACACAGGTACACACACACAGATACACAGATACACACAGGTACACACACACAGACACACACACAGACACACACACAGACAACAACAACCGCCATTCGCCACTAAGTGGCGGTGACGTCACCACGACGCTTGTGCCAGGCCATGTGCACCTTGAGGCCACGTGAAGTGTCGAACGCCCGCTGGCAGGAGGTCACGGGGCAGACCCAGCAGGTGCCACGGGTCGACTGACCGAGATGACCGAGATGACTGGCTGATGCACCACCTGTGCCCCCTACTGTATCAACTTGCTGTGCTTTAGCCACCCGGCGCTCCGCTCGTTGTTGTGAGCGTCGCTCCTCCGCCCTCCTCGCGGTGCCGGACGGGCAACACTGTCGTAGACAGTGCTATGGGGGGAGGACCAATGCCCATTGGCCTCTCCCCTCATGGTGTCTGTGACCACCACAGTGGCTAAACGGGGGCTCTGGATGGGTACGAGGGGCTGGTAACCCCTCCACCTTCAATGAATTACCACGAAACTACGAATTAAACATAAACCGGTGCTCACACAGATACACACGGAGACACACCCTCTTGTATGTCACACCCTACGTGGTTCCACCACCACCACCACCACCATACCACCACCACCACCCCACCACCACCACCACCACCCCACCACCACCATCCCCCCACCACCACCACCCCACCACCACCACACCACGGCATCACGACACCACCACCACACCACCACCACCACCCCACTACCACCACCACCCCCACCACACCACCACCACCCCACCACCACCCCCACCACCACCACCCCACCACCACCAACCCCCCAACCCCCACCACCACCCCCACTACCACCACACCACCACCACCCCACCACCCCACTACCACCACCCCACCACCCCACTACCACCACACCACCACCCCACCACCACACCCCACCAGCACCACACCACCACCCCCACCACCACCACCACCCCACCACCACGGCGCTGCGTGTGTCTGCAGGTGACTCCCTGTCGTACCACCACGGCCGGGCGTTCTCTACGCCGGACCGCGACCACGACGGGGCAGCCCCGCACTGTGCTGAGGCCTACCGGGGCGGCTGGTGGTACCGCAACTGCCACAAGGCCAACCTGAACGGGCGCTACGGGGACACCAGCCACAGCAGGGTTAGTCCTCGACGAGCAGCGCGCATCATACCGCACGCATCATACCACACGCGTCATACCGCACGCATCATACCGCACGCATCATACCGCACGCATCATACCGCACGCATCATACCGCACGCATCACACCGCACGCATCACACCGCACGCATCACACCGCACGCATCATACCGCACGCATCATACCGCACGCATCATACCGCACACGTCATACCGCACGCGTCATACCGCACACATCATACCGCACGCATCACACCGCACACACCGCACACACCCCATACTACGCACGTGTGCACTCATAGCACACACACCACATCACACCACATGGTCTGTGCTGTGAGTGAACACTGTGTGTGAACGCCGTGTGTGAACGCTGTGTGTGTGAACGCTGTGTGTGTCTGTGTGTGAACGCTGTGTGTGTCTGAACGCTGTGTGTGTCTGTGTGTGAACGCTGTGTGTGTCTGTGTGTGAACGCCGTGTGTGAACACTGTGTGTGTGAACGCTGTGTGTGTCTGTGTGTGAACGCTGTGTGTGTCTGTGTGTGAACGCTGTGTGTGTCTGTGTGAACGCTGTGTGTGTGTGAACGCTGTGTGTGTAGGGGGTGAACTGGGTGGCGTGGCGTGGCCACGAGGGGTCTCTGAGCTTCGTGGAGATGAAGCTGAGGCCGCACGCCTTCCAGGACACGGTCGCCAAGCGGAGGAGACGCCACGGGGACTAACGGAGAGACCACGGGGGACTAACGGAGACACGGGGGACGCCATGGGCACTAACGGAGACGCCACGGGGACTAACGGAGACACGGGAGACGTCACGGGGACTAACGGAGACACGGGAGACGCCACGGGGACTAACGGAGACGCCACGGGGACTAACGAAGAGACCACGGGGGACTAACGGAGACACGGGGGACGCCATGGGCACTAACGGAGACGCCACGGGGACTAACGGAGACACGGGAGACGTCACGGGGACTAACGGAGACACGGGAGACGTCACGGGGACTAACGGAGACGCCACGGGGACTAACGGAGACACGGGAGACGTCACGGGGACTAACGGAGACGCCACGGGGACTAACGGAGACACGGGAGACGCCACGGGGACTAACGGAGACGCCACGGGGACTAACGGAGACACGGGAGACGTCACGGGGACTAACGGAGACACGGGAGACACCACGGGGACTAACGGAGACGCCACGGGGACTAACGGAGACACGGGAGATGACGTGGGGGGACTAACGGAGACACGGGGGACGACGCAGGGGGACTAACGGAGACAGGCGTTTGAACGACACACACACACAGAGTTTGCGGGCTGTGATTGTTCGGGATTTGAATGTAATTGTCATTGGGTATCGATGTGAAGAGGCGTTTTGCCCTGCGGCAGTTTGGTCCATGCGGCGGTGGTGGCGGCGGTGGTGGCGGTAGTGATGGCGGCGGTGGTGGCGGCGGTGGTGGTGGTGGTGACCGGTGGTTGTGGCGGTGGTGGCGGTGTTGGTTGTGGTGGTGGCGTTGGCGGTGGCGGCGGTGATGGTGAGTCCGTGGGCCTCCATGCGAGTCGATGAGTCTCTGCAGATATGTAGTTCTCTGAGCTTGCGGACCATTGTGTGAGTCTATGTGAGTGGGTGGGTGCGTGGGTGTGCAGGTGGGTGGGTGGGTGGGTGACTGGGTGAGTGAGCAGGTGGGTGAGCGTGCAAGTGGATGGGTGGGTGAGGAGGTGGGTGAGCAAGTGGGTGGGTGGGTTAGCGAACGGTTGGGCGAGTGAGCGAGTGGGCGGGCGAGTGGGCGGGCGAGTGGGCGAGTGGGTGGGTGAGCGAGCGGGTGAGCGTGGGTGGGCGAGTGGGTGGGTGAGCGAGCGGGTGAGTGTGGGTGGGTGAGTGGGTGGGTGAGCGAGTGGCGAGCGAGTGGGCGAGCGGGTGGTTAAGCGAGTGGGCGGGTGGGTGGTTAAGCGAGTGGGCGGGCGAGTGAGCGAGTGGGCGAGCGAGTGGGCGAGCGGGTGGGCGAGCGAGCGTTGTCGCGACCTGCAGCGCCGTATCGCACAGACGGGTTCATGATCCCCCCTCCGTCACGGTGGCGACCCGGTAGCCCGGGGAGTTTGAAAAGCGCGACGCGAATCTGCACCTGACCCACCAACCCCTTAGCACCACCACCACCGCATTTCAAATGGCAGATGTGTCTGCGTAGAGGACTGCAAGTGTTGCATTGAATGTATCTCGTATGTAGTAGTAGTAGTAGTTGTGTGTGTGTGTACATTCTAAACTAATTCTATTTTTTTATTTTCACCAGGTAAGGTCCCACTAAACTCCGTCGCTCTTTTTCAGAAGCGATGGTGATGAGAGAGAGACACGCAGACTCCAAATATACAGCAGCAGGCATCGTCAGTGTCGGGATCGAACCCACGACCTCCTGTATACCAGGCGAGGTAGTCAACATCTCCTAGCCACCGTGATGATGATGAGAGAGACACGCAAACTCCAAATATACAGCAGCAGGTGTCAGGGTCGGGATCGAACCCACGACCTCCTGTATACCAGGCGAGTTAGTCAACATCTCATAGCCACCGTGATGGTGATGAGAGAGAGACACGCAAACTCCAAATATACAGCAGGCGTCAGTGTTGGGATTGAACCCACGACCTCCTGTATACCAGGCGAGGTAGTCAACATCTCCGAGCCACCGTGCATGTTTTATGTGGACTGGTGGCGCAGTGGTTAGCGATCCCTAATCGCGGCCAACACCGCCAGTGACGATTTACCTGAGCCGGTCGTGGGCCTCCCCTAGGTCGACTCAGCCTCAAAATGAGTACCCGGTACTGCGTGCAAATATCGCCACTCGGAGAGACAAAGGCGGCCGGGGCTTGGTTGCTGGCCACCCACCCCCTCGTGTTGCTACTCGCTACCCACAGCACTTGCCCCACAGCCTGTTAGAGGCTACACGGGGGATCTTTGTCTTTGTGTATGTTGCTGCTACTCGCTACCAACAGCACTTGCCTCTACAGCCTGTTAGAGGCTACACGGGGGATCTTTGTCTTTGTGTGTGGCTACCAACAGCACTTGCCCCACAGCCTGTTAGAGGCTACACGGGGGATCTTTGTCTTTGTGTATGTTGCTGCTTCTCGCTACCAACAGCACTTGCCCCTACAGTCTGTTGGAGGCTACACGGGGGATCTTTGTCTTTGTGTATGTTGCTGATACTTGCTACCAACAGCACTTGCCCCCACAGTCTGTTAGAGGCTACACGGGGGACCTTTGTCTTTGTGTATGTTGCTGCTACTCGCTACCAACAAGCACTTGCCCCACAGTATGTTAGAGGCTACACGGGGGATCTTTGTCTTTGTATATGTTGCTGCTACTCGCTACTCGCTACCAACAGCACTTGCCCCCACAGTATGTTAGAGGCTACACGGGGGATCTTTGTATCGCTGTTAACTCGCACGGCTTTCCCCGTATTCCTTTGCAAGGAAATTGAGTTTTGAGGTGCATGGGCCATGCAGACGTTTGATAGCGGGAAGCAGCAACAAGAACAACGAAACTAATTCTAGATTTGAAGTTTTCGTGACTTCAAGAGTCCATACTCTTTGTTTTTTAGGTAAAGTCATTTCGGTAAAAAATTAAAATAAAATAAAAATAAATTAAAAATCACGACGTTTCAGAGGCAACACAAGCATCCGTCTTCAGGTGGAACCGTCACAACAAAAACTAAAATACTATCTCGATTTAAAGCTTTCGTGACTGCAGGGATTCATCTTCTTGGTTCTTTCGGTAAAGTCACTTAGAAGGGAAATAATAAAATAATAAAAAGAAAAATAATAAAATAATATAATAAAGCTATGTTTTATTTTTCTTAAATAATAAAATTATAAATAATAAACATAATAAAATAATATAATAAAATAAAAATAAATTATCTACGTGACTTTACCGAAAGAACCAAGAAGATAAAATAATATCATTCGACCTTCTTTGCCAGTACCAAAATATAATAATAGGGGTTTTTTTCCCCCGATTTCTTTCTGGCAACAAAACTTCAACTTTTTTTTACGAGGATTCGTGTTATTGCATTCACCACAATATTTGGTACGGACCAATCAGTTTCAAGGACAATGCAAATATTATCAGAATGTGTGTTTTTTTTAAGAAAGCTGTCTCTTGTGTGGACCAATCAGTTTCAAGGACAATACATCATGTTATCAGTGTGTTTTTTGTTTGCATTTTGACCGCAAGTATTGTGGTTAACGCAGACATGAATCCTCGTAAAAAGGTTTCAAGTTTTGTCGCCAGAAAAAAGGGGGAAAACCCCTATTATTATTATTATAAAAAAACTAAAATAATGTAAAGTCACGTAGAAGGGAAATAAAAAAATAAAAAAAATATATAACAATAATAAAATAAAATACATTTAACATAATAAAATAATTATTTAATTTATTTTATTTTATACTACATGTAGCTGCGCGTGTAGTAGCTACACATGTAGTAGCTACACGTGTAGTAGCTACACGTGTAGTAGCTACACGTGTAGTAGCTACACATGTAGTAGCTACTACACATGTAGTAGCTACTACACATGTAGTAGCTACACGTGTAGTAGCTACACGTGTAGTAGCTACTACACGTGTAGCTACTACACATGTAGTAGCTACTACACGTGTAGTAGCTACTACACGTGTAGTAGCTACACGTGTAGTAGCTACACGTGTAGTAGCTACTACACGTGTAGCTACTACACATGTAGTAGCTACTACACGTGTAGTAGCTACTACACGTGTAGTAGCTACACGTGTAGTAGCTACACGTGTAGTAGCTACTACACGTGTAGCTACTACACATGTAGTAGCTACTACACATGTAGTAGCTACTACACGTGTAGTAGCTACACGTGTAGTAGCTACATGTGTAGTAGCTACTACACGTGTAGCTACTACACATGTAGTAGCTACTACACATGTAGTAGCTACTACACGTGTAGTAGCTACACGTGTAGTAGCTACACGTGTAGTAGCTACACGTGTAGTAGCTACACGTGTAGTAGCTACACGTGTAGTAGCTACACGTGTAGAAGCTACACATGTAGAAGCTACACGTGTAGTAGCTACACGTGTAGTAGCTGCACGTGTAGTAGCTACACGTGTAGTAGCTACACGTGTAGAAGCTACGGAGACACGCAAATTCAAGAGCCCCACGCTAAACGCTTTCAAGCTATCAATTCCGGTTCGGTGATTCTGCACTTGCTCTATCGCTATAGTACTACACCGCCTTCGACTTTTACGAACGACCGGCTGTTTAAGGTTAGCGATTAGTCGTATAATCTGGCTGGATAGCAAATGAAAAAAATTACAATTACTTTACTTTGCAAGTTAAGATTTTTTTGTGCGCTTTAATATTTGTGTGTTTCTTTTTTAACTTTAATGTAGGGTCCCCTTTATAATAACAAATGCTACAGGCCTCGCACTAAGCTTCATTCGGCACGTGACAGCATCCGAACAAAGTGGGGCGATGTTCGTCAGCGCCGTCACCTGCGGGGAGATGCATAGCCGCAGCAGCGAAACTCTCTGAAAGGCGCCTTTCTTGAGGTGGAGGGGAGGAAATGAGATATCCACGCGACCACGGGGAGAGACAGAGAGAGAGAGAAACACCGCAAACTCCAAATCTACAGCAGCAGCAGCAGGCATCGTCAGGGTCGGGATCGAGCCCATGACCTCTTGCAGACCAGGCGAGGTGGTTAACATATCCTAGCCGCCGTGATGATGATGAGAGAGAGACGCAGACTCCGAATATACAGCAGCAGCAGGCATCGTCAGGGTCGGGATCGAGCCCATGACCTCCTGCAGACCAAGCGAGGTAGTAAACATCTCATAGCCACTGTGATGATGCTGAGAGAGACACGGAAACTCAAAATCTACAGCAGCAGCAGGCATAGTCAGGGTCGGGATCGAACCCACGACCTCCTGTAGACCAGGCGAGGTGGTTAACATCTCCTAGCCACTATGATGATGATGAGAGACACCGCAAACTCCAAATATACAGCAGCAGGCATCGTCAGGGTCGGGATCGAACCCACGACCTCCTGCAGACCAGGCGAGGTGGTTAAAATCTCCTAGCCACCGTGATGATGATGAGAGAGACATGCAAACTTCAAATCTACAGCAGCAGCAGGCATCGTTAGGGTCGGGATCGAACCCACGACCTCCTGCGTACCAGGCGAGGTAGTCAACATCTCCTAGCCACCGTGGCGCCTATGAGCCGGTTGCTTGCCTATGATTGTCAATTTCTCACGTGGTGGTGGTGGTGGTGGAAGGAGGAGGAGGCTTTCGCGACCAAATATTATCCATAATAGAGGTTTTGTTTATTTGGTCAGGTCGCGTAAATATTTACCACCAAATATGGACGCGAACTAACCCACAGAGGGAGAGAGAGAGAATAAGAAATATATCAACGCTCTGTTAAGCTATGAATGTGGTTATTTTTCGTTATTAAATGGAAGAACGTTGCGATGTTTTTACGTGCTTAATTGTCCACGAAACGACGCGTGTGTTTGTATATTTTAAAAAAACTGTATAAACAAACACACACACACGCGTACACAAAGACACAGATCCCCCGTGTAGCCTGTAACAGACTTTCTAGATTTGAAGCTTTCGTGACTGCAAGGATTCATATTCTTAGGTTTTTTCGGTAAAGTCACGTAGGTAAAACATTAAAATTAATAAAAGTAAAATAAAATAAAAATCACGACGTTTCGGAGGCAACACAAGCTTCCGTCTTCAGGTGGAACCGTCACAGCCACGACAGCTGCACTTGATACAGCTGTCGTGATTTTTTATTTTGATTTTATTTTACTTTTTAATGTTTTACCTACGTGACTTTACCGAAAAAACCTAAGAATATGAACCTGTAACAGACTGTAGGGGCAAGTGCTGTTAGCGAGCAGCACCTGTGAAGGCTACCGGCACTGTGGCACACGAGGGGGTGGGTGTGGCTAACACCACGCCCGGCCGCCTTTGTCTCTCCCAGTGGCGATGTTTAGTATACACACCGCACCAGGTTACTGGTTTGAGGCTGAGTCGACCTAGGGGAGGAACCAGGAGCTGATCACCGGCGTGTAAGGCCCCGCTGTAGCAAGTATTCAGAAGCAATCCGGCTATCACGAATGATAGCTGAACGAAGTGGCTTATCAACATCATCATCATCATCTTTCGATTTAAAGCTTTCGTGACTGCAGGGATTCATCTTCTTGGTTCTTTCGGTAAAGTCACGTAGAATGGAAATAATAAAATAATAAAAATAAAACAATAAAATTATTCTCACGACGTTTCGGCCACAACGCAAGCAGCCGTCCTCAGGTGAAGAACAGGTCTTTCCGACAGACCTGGCAAGACAGCTGTCTTTCCGACAGACCTGGTCTTCACCTGAGGACGGCTGCTTGCGTTGTGGCCGAAACGTCGTGAGAATTATTTTATAGTTTATTTTTATTATTTTATTATTTCCCTTCTACGTGACTTTACCGAAAGAACCAAGTAGATGAATCCCTGCAGTCACGAAAGCTTTAAATCGAAATTTAATTTAGTTATTGTCGAATGTGTTGATTCGGCCACTAGAGGGCAGTGTTGACCCAAGCTTGCGACCTTTTTCCAATTTTTCAGTTCCAATTATTAGGCAGAGCCCTGTGAGCCATTCGGCTCTTGAATCGGGTGCAACCGCATAAAAAAAAACAACAACATGAACAAAAAAACATCTTAAAGTGACTATGCACAAACAGAAAAATCCAGGAAAAACTTCAAAGTCTTCCAGAAAAAAAACCACCAACGCTCTGTGCAAAAATCGCAGTGGGATGCAAGTCAACAACAACAACAACACCATAGTAGTAGGTGTTTCCCCTTTCAACTGGTACAAAAACTGACACCTTTATACGAGGCATCATGTTTGCAATAAACACAACACAAGCAGTCAAAATGCAAACAAAAAGAAACAACTCTGATGATGATAATGATATGCAGTTGATCAACTTCAATGACATATTATCATCAGAGTTGTTTATTTTTGTTTGCATTTTGACTGCTTGTGTTGTGGTTATTGCAAACATGATGCCTTGTATGAAGGTGTCAGTTTTTGTACCAGTTGAAAGGATAAAAACCTATTACTATATTTTGCCACTGGTAAAGGAGGTCTCATAGTGTAAATAAACAACAACATGAACCACAAGACAACTTAGATTAACGCCATCATTTTGCAGGATGCTGAAGATCACCCTGCAAAAGTGGTGATTAGCTGGGCTGCCATCGTTAAGGGGCCGGCCATAAATGACGTCACGCACCTATGGGGGGGGGGGGGGGCCAGACATTGGTGACGATGTGTGACGGGGGGGGGGGGGGTAGAGAAATGTGACGTCACATCAAAATGCTGCAACTTTAAATAAATATAGACAACACGTTCTACTTAATTTAATTGACTATTTAATAAATGTTTGCTCCTACAACATCAGAGTACAGCGCCACAATAAATACGCACTACAATAACAATAGTTTAAAGCGATTTGAAGCATGTTTTATATATTTTTTTTTGGGGGGGGGGCAGAGCTTTGTGACGTCATATTTGAGGGGGGGGGGTCTGACTTTTTGTGACGTCGTGTGACGAAGGGGGGGGTCAAAAATCGCCCAAAATTGCGTGACGTCATCATCCAGCAGTGGATAGGCCGGGGTCGTTATGTTAATGAGGCTAATTCTAGATGTGAAGCTTTCGTGACTGCAAGGAATCATATTCTTAGGTGTTTTCGGTAAAGTCACGTAGGTAAAACATCAAAATAAATAAAATAATAAAATAAAATAAAGATCCCACCTGATGACGGAGACTTGTGTTGCCTCCGAAACGTCGTGATCTTTATTTTATTTTATTTATTTTATTAATTTTGATGTTTTACCTACGTGACTTTACCGAGAACACCTAAGAATATGATTAATGAGGCTAATTTGCATAGCAGCGCCGTGACGTAACGTTGCGTCGTGACGTCACAACGGACACGCGGTTTGCCGAGGGGGTGGGTCACGTGCCTTTCGATTTTGGACTGAACCATCATCGCAATTTACGGTCGAGGTGGGTGTCGTTGAACTCATCTCGTATTTTGTACCGATTGTTCGATAGATAGGGACGTATTACGCAGTTGAATTTATAGATTTGTGAGAGAATTAATTAATTCCGCACTTGATGATTAGGCGTTTCAAATCTTATTGATTGATTTTTTTTTTAAATAATAGTTTATTATACCCCCCCCCCCGTCCTACTGAGCAATTGGACTCTCCCAAAGGAGATCCAAGATTCTTCAACAAGTTCCTCATCCGAGCGTCGGGATTGGCTGTTGATGAGCACGTGACCAGCTCTCGTTGAATCGGATATGAAGCGACTACGTCATAGGGTGATGGAGGGGTTATTTATCTGTGTTACGAAATTCAATAGCTTTTCGAAATGTTCATTTTAAAACGTAGTGCAGTTAGGCTATGAGGATTTAGGAGCCTGAGGGGCGGGGCTGAAGGGGGTGACTGAATGGGGTGGGGCCGCAGTTAACTTTTATATAAATTAGCATTGATCATAACCGAGGCAAAATTAGAAATGTAAACTGTCATTTATTTATGAGTTTTGGCAAAAGTAACAAAATGTTCTTATGGGGGAAGTGAAATTCTACCGGATAATAAAAATAACCGGCGAAAATATGTGAAATTCATAAAATAAAATAAATAAATTTCAACCAATTTAATACAGTACTGTATAACATTAAAGTAGATGTTGTAAAAGAAAAATATTTTTTTTTGCGGGTAGGGGAAATCATAAGGCACCAGATGAAAAAATAATCCAAGCCTAAAAAAATGTCAAATTAAGTTTTTATATATGTATATTTAAACAAAATTAATGGCCGATCATTTATTGTGATAATATCTTAACACAAAAACGAGGAACTGTGTAAAATAATGAAAATAATTGCTTAAACTTTGACCAACCCGATAAAAATTACGCCATTGGAGAAGTTATAAGCTATCGGATAATAAACAATAACTTTGTGAAACATTGAAGAACAGATTATAAAATATATATTAAGTAAATGGGTAAATCAAGTGTGAAAGCGACGTGAAACATGTACTATGATATTTACATAAAATAATTAGAGATATAAAAATAAATTTAATCAATTAAACAAATAATATATCCGATAGGGGAAGTTGATTTGTATCTGATAAAAAAGATATCTCGAAAATGAGTCAAACTTTAATATATATTCTTAATGTTGTATACTTTTAACAGATGAATGTAAATACTTTTTTTAGAATTAAAAAAGATAACACGAGAAAAGTATTACATAATTTAACATACGATTCTTACTCCTAAATAATCAGTTCAAATATCAATAAGTAGGGGAAGTAAATATCTACAAGGTAATAAAAAATAACACTCAAAATAATGTTACATCTAAATAATTGTTTTAAATATTTTAAACGCGTGAAATAAATAAATGAAACCGACAACGCCAAAAGTTGGACATTTTTGTTTATTTTATAAAACACATTTCACGTACATATACCTCGACAGAAAAAAGTGTCCCGTTTAGACTAAGTGAAAATCAACGAGGATAAATTAAAAAAAACTTTATAAACATTAAAATAAAACAACGAATAAATACAATTATTGCGCTTGTTAAAACACCAAAAATAAATAATAAACTCGCGCCACACACAGAGAGAGAACCCGCGGCGAAGATGGCGGCCGAGTCGGTTCAGGTGAGGAACCCTCAAAACAGCGAATAGTTACCGCCTAACAGCTTTATAAAAATAAACTAAACCCCCCCCCACGCTCGGAGTTAACGACAAGAGGGTGGATACGATAGAAGTGGTACTAATTTAAACGAATTAAAAAAAATATTTTACCTCACGAAACTTCGGGTGTGTGTGTGTCTAACCCCCCCCCCGTTCCCCACACATTTTGAGTTTATTTAACAACGGTAACTCGCTCTAAAGAAAGTTTTAAACTGCGTCTTTCGCCTCCTTCGTCGAACGCCGCCCTCGTGCATTTCTTTTTTGTTCGGCTTATTCTGTTTTGCTGTCGAGGGAAATCGATTATCTTTGCCGAGCGAACACGGAGGGATTTGACGGTCTCGCCTAGTCGCCTCTACCGGGTGAGGTGCGTCGCGGTGGGTAGGGATCTGTAGGCCGCAACGCCCCACCACCACCACCAACACCACCCCACCTCACTCCACTCTTCCTCCTCCGTTCTCCCGTGGGATGCGTACTTTTTGAGAAACATTCGAAACCAATTATCATCGATAAGCAGTTGAGTTATTTGACGCTTTGTTTAGTCGATGTTGATGTCGTCGTTTCAAACGCCCAGTTGAGTTGTGTGGCCCGGTCATCCACTCCGACCAAAAATGGTGAAGTATGACCAATTCTCAGCGGCTACTGCGGGGCACAAATCAATTGTTGTGCTGTACCTCCTATGCTGCCCACCCTTCATCGCACCGGCACTCACCAGCGTGGTGAAGTATGGTTGAATAGCCCCCCCTCCCCTCTCTCCCAGACATGATTATTATTAATCGTTACTGCTATTAAGTAAATAGTGTTCGTGCTAGGGTTCCATTTGATGTGCGTATTGTATAATAGACGCGTTCAGTTTTAAGTTTGATGGAGTTATTGTGCACCCTCACAAACTGATAACTTTTTGATGGGAAAAGTCATCGGAATTAATGTTAAACCGGGAGATGGGGGGGGGTAAGCCCTTCATCTTAACATTCGAAGTCAACTCAATCAAACTCTATTTCTATAGCACTATTCGTGCAAAAAAAAGAATGCAATAGAATAGTGACGTGTTGTATTATGGCCTGCGTTCAGTCGTGTTTGTTAGCGGTCTTCAAGGTACGCAATGTTACTGTTGAAATCCCATTCGTTTCAGTGGTGGAGTGGGGCTTGCAACAACAACAACGCTCTTTCGAAACGCAACAACGAGAATTATCCAAACGAGATGCGTTTTTCATCAAACCCACTTTAGGATGATAAAAAAGGCGATGTGACGTGGGCAAGCGTATGCACAAGTCCAGTACAACAATGTACATCACTAGTGTGTAGTGTAGTGTGTATAGTAGTGTAGTATACTAGTACAGCACTCGTGTGTAGTGTATTGTGTATAGTAGTGTAGTATACTAGCACAGCACTAGTGTGTAGTGTATTGTGTATAGTAGTGTAGTATACTAGTACAGCACTAGTGTGTAGTGTATTGTGTATAGTAGTGTAGTATACTAGTACAGCACTAGTGTGTAGTGTATTGTGTATAGTAGTGTAGTATACTAGTACAGCACTAGTGTGTAGTGTAGTGTGTATAGTAGTGTAGTATACTAGTACATCACTAGTGTGTAGTGTATTGTGTATAGTAGTGTAGTATACTAGTACAGCACTAGTGTGTAGTGTATTGTGTATAGTAGTGTAGTATACTAGTACAGCACTAGTGTGTAGTGTAGTGTGTATAGTAGTGTAGTATACTAGTACAGCACTCGTGTGTAGTGTATTGTGTATAGTAGTGTAGTATACTAGTACAGCACTAGTGTGTAGTGTGTATAGTATAGTATACTAGTACAGCACTAGTGTGTAGTGTATTGTGTATAGTAGTGTAGTATACTAGTACAGCACTAGTGTGTAGTGTAGTGTGTATAGTATTGTAGTATACTAGTACAGCACTAGTGTGTAGTGTATTGTGTATAGTAGTGTAGTATACTAGTACAGCACTAGTGTGTAGTGTATTGTGTATAGTAGTGTAGTATACTAGTACAGCACTAGTGTGTAGTGTGTATAGTATAGTATACTAGTACAGCACTAGTGTGTAGTGTGTATAGTATAGTATACTAGTACAGCACTAGTGTGTAGTGTATTGTGTATAGTAGTGTAGTATACTAGTACAGCACTAGTGTGTAGTGTATTGTGTATAGTAGTGTAGTATACTAGTACAGCACTAGTGTGTAGTGTATTGTGTATAGTAGTGTAGTATACTAGTACAGCACTAGTGTGTAGTGTATTGTGTATAGTAGTGTAGTATACTAGTACAGCACTAGTGTGTAGTGTATTGTGTATAGTAGTGTAGTATACTAGTACAGCACTAGTGTGTAGTGTATTGTGTATAGTAGTGTAGTATACTAGTACAGCACTAGTGTGTAGTGTATTGTGTATAGTAGTGTAGTATACTAGTACAGCACTAGTGTGTAGTGTAGTGTGTATAGTAGTGTAGTATACTAGTATAGCACTAGTGTGTAGTGTATTGTGTATAGTAGTGTAGTATACTAGTACAGCACTAGTGTGTAGTGTAGTGTGTACAGTAGTGTAGTATACTAGTACAGCACTAGTGTGTAGTGTATTGTGTATAGTAGTGTAGTATACTAGTACAGCACTAGTGTGTAGTGTGGTGTGTATAGTAGTGTAGTATACTAGTACAGCACTAGTGTGTAGTGTATTGTGTATAGTAGTGTAGTATACTAGTACAGCACTAGTGTGTAGTGTAGTGTGTACAGTAGTGTAGTATACTAGTACAGCACTAGTGTGTAGTGTATTGTGTATAGTAGTGTAGTATACTAGTACAGCACTCGTGTGTAGTGTAGTGTGTATAGTAGTGTAGTATACTAGTACAGCACTAGTGTGTAGTGTAGTGTGTATAGTAGTGTAGTATACTAGTACAGCACTAGTGTGTAGTGTATTGTGTATAGTAGTGTAGTATACTAGTACAGCACTAGTGTGTAGTGTATTGTGTATAGTAGTGTAGTATACTAGTACAGCACTCGTGTGTAGTGTATTGTGTATAGTAGTGTAGTATACTAGCACAGCACTAGTGTGTAGTGTATTGTGTATAGTAGTGTAGTATACTAGTACAGCACTAGTGTGTAGTGTGTATAGTAGTGTAGTATACTAGTACAGCACTAGTGTGTAGTGTAGTGTGTATAGTAGTGTAGTATACTAGTACAGCACTAGTGTGTAGTGTATTGTGTATAGTAGTGTAGTATACTAGTACAGCACTAGTGTGTAGTGTATAGTAGTGTAGTATACTAGTACAGCACTAGTGTGTAGTGTAGTGTGTATAGTAGTGTAGTATACTTGTACAGCACTAGTGTGTAGTGTATTGTGTATAGTAGTGTAGTATACTAGTACAGCACTAGTGTGTAGTGTAGTGTGTATAGTAGTGTAGTATACTAGTACAGCACTAGTGTGTAGGGTATTGTGTATAGTAGTGTAGTATACTAGTACAGCACTAGTGTGTAGTGTAGTGTGTATAGTAGTGTAGTATACTAGTACAGCACTCGTGTGTAGTGTAGTGTGTATAGTAGTGTAGTATACTAGTACAGCACTAGTGTGTAGTGTAGTGTGTATAGTAGTGTAGTATACTAGTACAGTACGCCGGTGTGTTGGAGAGCCACAAATCTGCCTGTCGCCTGATGAAGCTGGTTGTAATTACTGGCGAAACGTCGTACTCCGATTGTAAATGTTGTGGCTCTTGGTTCCAACACACCGGTGTGCTGTACTAGTATACTACACTATACACTACACTATATACTACGCTATACACAATACACTACTCTACACAATATGTTTACATGACACTAAACTTTACTAATTGGCTTTGTCGTGTGGTGGCGGGTTTAACGACACATTTATATATTCACGCGATTTAACCCAACAAAACCTGTATCGTGGTTATAAATTCGTGGCAGTCTTATTGTCTTCCACTAACAGCGTAGCGCCCCACAGCAGCCTAAATGCCTACCTGTTGTGCTTGTTGGGACATCCATCCCATGCACAGTCCAGGCTCCAACAAAAATGCCCTGCTTAGCTTTTTTTTTTACTCCCAGAGATTTGATGAGATCAGGCGCATTCGGAGTGATTTGGCCCATAGGCTTTTGTCTAACGATGCAGTTATGAACATCAGCGTAATCTAAATGGGTCCTTTTTGTTAGTGTTCAAAGTTATGAAAAACAATTGAATTCCTTGCAAAAAGTTTCCTATTTGGTGTTTGAACGTCTTATAATACCTCCATAATGTAGGTTCAATGTATAACGACACGTTTATATTGATGCGATCTAACCCAAAAAAATCTATATTATGGATGATATTGGTCGCGAAAGCTTACTACGTGTTAATCCTAACACCTCTTGTATTGGCAGAAAAAAGTAAAACCTATTGTTTTTTCATTCAATGTAATCTATTTGTGGGTGTGCTGCGACTATACCTACATTTGTAGGCTTCGTTGCGAATTCCAAAAAACTGAGTTTGGCTTCGTGTGAGAGGATGTGGGGTTGGGGGTGGGGTTGGGGGTGAGGTTTATGACACTCAAAAGTGTCCACACAGATGGATTCTAGAATTCACGACTTCATCTCCTGGCCACGTTAGGAGGCCGAGCCTACGACACCAACCAGTCTGCCGTCCACAAAGCAAACCGGGCAACAACCAGCTTCAGCCCTGCTCAATTTGAGTACGAGATAATACTTTATTGTCTATGGGAAGAATCCGATAAGCTCACAAAGCTCGCTTTTCTTTCTCTCCCACAGATGCCCATTACAATTTGATCGTAGGCCACTTTGTTGAATTGCACAATAGAGTACTGTTTTTGCTTAATCGCTTTACTATGCACTTTTCACGTGACCTTTGGTACGATTTGCTGGGTTTTTTTAACCTCCGATTATTGTACGGCTCTCTCGGCGCGTCTGCCGGTTGCGCCCCCCGCGTGTCGTTCGGCGCCTTGTCCGACGTTTTTG